CATGATGCTGGATGGTGGACCAGAATTGCCTCAAAGCCGTATGGAAGTCTTTTTCCATGGCCTCTCCGAACTCCTCCCACGCTCGAGTTTTTGCCTCAGCGACCACCTGAGCTGCAATCCACTTGGACTGCCGATACCTGTCAGCTGCTTCCAGAGTCCCACAGGCCAAAAAGACCTGATAGGACTCCTCCTTCAGCCTGACAGAATCCCTCACCGCCGATGTCCACCAGTGGGTTCGAGGGTTGCCACCATGACAGGCACCGACAACCTTGCAGCCACAACTCAGGTAAGCCGCCTCGACAATGGAGGTACGGAACATGTCCCACTTGGCCTCAATGTCCCCCACCTCCACCGGAATATGTTCGAAGTTACCCCGGAGGTGTGAGTTGAAGCTCCGTCTGATGGGAGACTCTGACAGACATTCCCAGCAGACCCTCACTATATGTCAATGTCAATGTCAATTTTATTTATATACGTGGCACACAAAAAACAACAGAAGTTGGCCATATGTTTGGGTCTGCCAGGTCTGACCGGCATCCTCCCCCACCATCGGAGCCAACTCACCACCAGGTAGTGGTCAGTTGACAGCTCCGCCCCTCTCTTCACCCGAGTGTCCAGGACATGTGGCTGCAGATCAGATGAGACGACAACAAAGTCGATCATCGAACTGCGGCCTAGGGTGTCCTGGTGCCAAGAGCACATACGGACATCCTTATGTTTGAACAGGGTGTTTGTTATGGACAATCCATGATGAACACAGAAGTCCAATAACAAAACACCGCTTGGGTTCAGATCGGGGGGGTGGGGGGAGGTCCTCCCAAACACGCCTCTCCAGGTCTCACTGTCATTAACCACGTGAGCGTTGAAGTCCCCCAGCAGAACGAGGGAGTCCTCGTTAGGAGTGCTCTTCAGCACCCCCTGCAAGGACTCCAAAAAGGGTGGGTAATCTGAACTGCTGTTAGGCTCAGGGGCACAAACAACAGTCAGGACCCTTCCTCCCACCCATAGGCGGAGGGAGGCTACCCTCTCATTCACCAGGATGAACCCCAACGTACAGGCATCGAGATGGGGGGCAATAAGTATGCCCACTCCTGCTCGGCACCTCTCAGCATGGGCAACTCCAGAGTGGAAGAGTGTCCAACCCCTCTGGAGGAGACTGGTTCCAGAGACAGAGCGGTGCGTTGAGGTGAGTCCAACTATATCTAGTCGGAACCTCTCAACCTCACACACCAGCTCAGGCTCCTTCCCCACCAGAGAGGTGACATTCCACATCCCTAGAGCCAGCTTCTGTAGCTGAGGATCAGACCACCAAGGTCCTCGTCTTCAACCACTGCCCAACACACAATACACCTGATCCCTTTGGCCCCTCCCACAGGTGGTGAGCCCATGGGAAGAAGATTTATATTCTTTAATAAATTAATCTTCTGTCCATAACTTTCATTCTGTGCTGTTTGTGCGTTTTTTACTCACTAAGTAGTATTTCTCAGTGAAGGAGGGGGTGTTTGGTGCTGTCCAGCTGTAAACTGAACTCTTTCTGCTCGACAGCGACTGTCTGCTGACGGACGGAGTCCTCATCTTCTCGCCGCCGTCAAACGGGCTGCAGGGAACAAAACAAGCTGTAAAAACATAAATTTACACAATCTGTCTATTTATAGATAATAAACCTGTGATCTTCACCATCAGTCTATGTCTTAGTTTTACACAAATACTCTGCAGCTCATAAAAATTCCTGAAAACCTGAAGCAACGTTTCTGTTACTTCACTGCAGAACTCCCTTTGTTCTCGCTAGATTTAAACAAAGATAAGATTTTATTGTGAAAGGGCCCCAACTCCCAGTGGAACTAAAATTAGTGATCAGACGAAAGTGACTCAACCAACCATCATTTAACCATCCATCCAACCAACATCCAACCATCCATCCTCCATCCAACCATTCATTCATCATCCAACCATCCATCATCCAACCATTCATCCAACCAACATCCAACCATCCATCCATGCATCCAGCCATTCACCCAACCAACATCCAACCATCCATCCTCCATCCAACATCCATCATCCAACCATTCATCCAACCAACATCCAACCAGCCATCTTCCATCCAACCATCCATCATCCAACCATCCATCCATCATCCAACCATCCATCCATTATCCAATCATCCACCTCTATCCATCCAATCATCTATCCATCATCCAACCATCCATTCAACCATCCAATCATCATCCATCCATTCATCCATCCTCCCATCATACAACCATCATCCATCATCCATCCATCCAACCATCATCCATCCAACCATCATCCATCCATTCATCCATCCTCCCATCATACAACCATCATCCATCATCCATCCATCCAACCATCATCCATCCAACCATCATCCATCCATTCATCCATCCTCCCATCATCCAACCATAGATTGTGTATTTTGTGCTGTAAGTGTTGTGTCACAGAAGTGTTTGGTGCTGTGTGTGTGTTCGTACTTCCAGGTGACCTCCAGCTGCAGTTTGATGGTTCCCAGCTCCGTGATGTCCACCAACATCAGCTGCGGCTTCGCCACAAAGAAGTCCACGCTGGCGCACGTTACCATGCCGACCAGCAGCCAACCCAAACCCTTCGCCTCCGTCACCTGAGAGGAGATTAAACGATTTAAAAGTCTGGTTTTCTTCGCGATCCAGCTGAAGTTTCAGCAGCTTTATAACTAAACCTGACCAAAACAGCGAGAGAAACCGAAACGTTGCTCTGTTGATGTGAACGAGTGAATTCAGGAGGAGACCTGCTGACGCTGCAGGTAAAGAAGTTCAGAACTTTGTCTCTTTGACCTCTAACCTTGATTTCAAAGTTGTGGTTGATGTGGGGGAGGAAGACCATCTCCTCTTCATCCCAGGACTGAGAGTCATCCGACTGGATCCTCCCTCTGATCCTCCATCTCTGACGACCCAGACGGACCACCACCTGCTCAGGTGACACCAGAACCACGTCAGAAACTGGATCTGAAGCCTGACAGCTGAAAGATTTGATCTTCCTTGTGTTAACTTTTTATTTTGTGTGTTTAAATTTAAAGTTTGTGTCTTTGGGTCCAGATTCTGACCTCGTACTGGTCCCCGGGGCAGAGCCGAGCGAAGCCGATCAGACCTGCAGGTACAAACAGGTTCTGGTGAGACCAGAAGATAAAACAACGGTTCTGATGGGTCAAAGCACCCACCTTTCATTTTGAGGTGCAGCTCTCCCAGGAGGATTTCTAACTCTCCCTCCAGCGCAGACATGTCCTGAACACAAGAAAAAAAACTTTAATTTAAAGAAAGTTTGATTCCGAGGCCTGGCAGGTGGTTTTCCTGGTCCGGTACCTGCAGGCTGTGCCGGTGGTTGCGGCCCAGCTCCAGCAGACTCTCTCTGGACGCTCGAGTGGACGGGGACAGAGAAAAGGCTCGCTTCATGTTGACAGCTCCCTGACACAGTCTCCACTGAACGCCGTACGTCTCGTAGAGCTCGTCCACCTGAACCAGAACACAATCAACTCCGAGTCCAGAACACTGAAACACTTTAATCCTCTTATAGTGCCTGTGACACACCTATCCTAAGACAAAAAGTCAAAAATATATCTTCATATTTAGGAAAATTGGCCTAAAACACATGAGCTAACCCGTTTTGTCACACAACTGTCATATTTTCCTTTGAATTTGGCTCATCTAAAGTGAAACAGGAAGTGACATCAAAGGGGAACTGTTTAAGAAAGACATCTCTCTGGTCTTTGTTTATTAAAGCAATATTGTTTGAACTCTGACTTTTCTTCATTTCTCTCTTATAGGGACTAAAATTATCTAAAGAAACATCAGAAGATTCCCTGCTGTCTGTGTTGTTAGCCGTTGTAGCAATGCTCTGTTTACAGGCAGACATTCCCCTTTGACATCACTTCCTGTTATTTCACATGCAAACATCTTAACAACTGTTCATCTCAGTGGTGTGAAACTGCTTTTGCAACATGTTATCCATGTTATCATTCAAAAAGTGCATTCAAATTTATCACAAAAATTTGATGTCACAGCCCCTTTAAACTGACCTTACTGATCTGAAACTCCAACCGCCGGATGTACCTCTCCAACGCTCGGATCTCCTGCAGAAACAAGTCAAGTTAAACCAAGATTATTTAGATTTTTATTAATTTAACTGAATAAAAACTTTACTTTTTCCAGATCGTAGAGGAAGCCCTGGAAATAAAAGCAGAGCAGCTTTAAAATCTTTGAATCGCCACAAACTTTCAGTTTTTTCAGTTTTTTTCTCACCAGTCTGGAGTTCCTCTTGGTTTCTCTCTGCTGAGAGGACAGGAAGTCCATCTCTGTCTGGTGGATTTCTAAATATTCCCTGAAAAACATCAGAGACGACAGGATTTAAATCAGACCTGCACTTTTTAATCAAAAAAACATTTTAAATTATTTAATTTTAGTTTTTAGTTTCAGCCTGAAATCTGCAGTTAAAATGTTTAACTTGAGCCCAAAACAACAAAACAGCAAAACAGCATTTCCCATTTTCTATCTCTTTTAACTTCTGTTAACTTAAGATCTGTAAATTGAACCTGGACATTATTGGTATCAATGAAAAGCTAAAAATCTTGACTCAAAGCTCATGGAAACTATATTTACATTCACCAAACACAGTTCAAATGACATCTGAACCAGAAAGTAAACAAACTGTACAAAATAGGATTGTTGCAAATCTGTAAATACATTACAACTAATCTGTAAATACTTTAAAACTAATCTGTAAATATGTTACAACTAATCTGTAAATATGTTACAACTAATCTGTAAATATGTTACAACTAATCTGTAAATACGTTACAACTAATCTGTAAATATGTTACAACTAATCTGTAAATACGTTACAACTAATCTGTAAATACGTTACAACTAATCTGTAAATACGTTACAACTAATCTGTAAATATGTTACAACTAATCTGTAAATACGTTACAACTAATCTGTAAATACGTTACAAGTAATCTGTAAATACGTTACAACTAATCTGTAAATACGTTACAAGTAATCTGTAAATACGTTACAACTAATCTGTAAATACGTTACAAGTAATCTGTAAATACGTTACAA